TATATTGAATGGGTAGCACTGAGACCTTACAGTTATGCTATTGTTATGGAGAGTAAGAAAGTAATTGACCAAGATACTGTACCTATATGCTTGGACTTACCACTGTCTCCTGGATTTGTAAACTGAGATCATCTTAGATTAGAGGACCACGCCAAAAAAAAATTGTCCAGATAGAGATTTATTCCAATGTGGCTTATGTTTTTATATGACATTGCCTAGCATGCTGTGCTCTATGGGTAGCTCCATAGAACGCAGCAGAATAATAGTATTATTCTGCATGGCTGTATCATGTATTGCTGGGATTTGTAGTCCTCTATTGCTGATGGTATTATTGTAATACCATCAGCTGTAGAGGGCCACAAACCCCAGCAATACTTGATACAAGTACATACTCTATCTTGCCATGGGGTGGCGGCTTGATGTCTTCAGGGTCTCAGGAGGGCTGTAGAGGGTCTCAGTAGGGCTACGCAGGGTCTCTGGTAGGCTGTGTAGGGTCTCAGGAGGACTGTGTGGGGTCTCAGGTGGGTTGTGTGGGGGGTCAGGTGGGCTGTGTGGAGTCTCAGGTGGGCTGTGGTGGGTCTCATGTGGGCTGAGGAGCCTTTCACATAATGCAGAGGAAGGCAACCTGCGATCCACTGAACACGGGGTTGCGATCCACTTTTGGGTCACGACTCACCATTTGAAAACCACGGCTGTAGACAATATTGGTGAAGTCCAGATTTCAGCTTTAAAAGAACATGTTGAAAACTATTTATTATGGCATGTCATTTATATTCAAATAGTATGGATCCAGATCTGTGGTCAGACCTTGTGGCTGATTAGTAGCTAATGTGTCCATTCTACTTACAGTATTTGTGCTTTAATCACAGTACCCCCTTATTTGTAGTTTTGGCACATAATCTCTGATCTTATATACCTGTAAGCGCAAGGCAGGATGGGAGTATTCAGTAAAATCTCACAACACTGGTAAATCTATCTGACTGTTCTGTAATAAATGCGGATGTTGCCCAATGAGTAACCTAATTTTTCTATATTGTTTCCCATAAATATTAAAGACCAAAGAGCACATTCAAATAAATAGAATGTAATACCCTGATATATATATATAGTTTTTTTTTATATTTCAGTACAATAACCCTTGTAGTGATATGTGAAGCTTGATCATCATGTTTGATAATTAAAAAAAAGCTAATATGCACAGAGCCTAAAAGCGTTAAAGCTGAACTCCAGTGTATCCAAATATTGTCTAAATACAAGAGCCATGTGTATTCTTACTTTGACTTTTGTGTGTTTTCAGTATTTCTTCCAGATCTGCGCAGTGATCCAGTGTGAAACTTTGCCTTGGTGCAGGAGCTTCTTGTAAAAAAGACCGGTCACTGTGGCTCTCTCAATGTGCAGGGTGACTGGTCTTGCATCCGCCCCCTCCCGTAGTTCTCTGCAGGCAGCCTGTATTAGTTAGAGTCTGCTGGGTCCTCCTACAGCTCTGCTCTCTGCATGTTAATACCGGAGTTTGCAAAGACATTTGGTGCACACAATGTGAACTTACATCCTTTGTGGCTATTGAGAAACATATTTTAGTAAACGTTTTTGTGCCTGGGGTTCAACTTTAAGGTTAACTTTAGTTTTCAACATCAGCAATACAATTCTGACTCCAATGGTCTGTCCCCTGTCCCTGTATGAAAGTTCTGGTAGAATATGAGATTTTGTTATTGAGGGACAGTTAGCCCTGATAATATGCCAATGTTTATTTATGATACAAATATTATTGGAATAGATTGAATACAGGGTGAAATTGTGAATACCCCTGGCAGTGCAATAGTTTGTCCTAAACCTTGTTAGTGTCACTTTTCATGATACTTTGTTTTAAAATTTTAGCCTGCCAGTTTTAGAAGGACATCCAGTGCTCATGGTATTGGGGCAGCTTTCCACCAGTTGTCAAATTAGACTCTACTTACCAGAGAGATCTCCATCCTGGACTACAAATTCCATAAATCATTCTATACACATCTCTGACTTTAAAAAGCAACACTGTTCCTGACAAAACTGATTGTAAAATGTGTTGAAACTTGTCACTCATTCTGTTAGAAACCAATGAAAGCACAATAGACCATGGAATGGCTAATTATATGATTGATGTCACGTGAGACAAATTACAGTACATCCTATAAGTGACAAGCAGAGGTGCTTTCTGTAAAAGTGTGTAAATGAACATCCTGATGGCTTTCATAGCAAAAAAGAAGATACAGCTTTATTGTACACTCTACAGCCATTTACTGCCATGTGCATGAGCCCAAAAGCTGCTTTTTATTTTTAATACTGCTGGCCTATTGTTTTTTATCTAAAATTTTAAAAAGTTAGAGTTCTTTAATACTAAGATTACTACCTGCTGAATAATTAAAGTAATATATATGGTAATTTTTTTTTAGAAAACAATAAAATACAATTGTCCTCCTATTTGCCTGAAGTTCTTTTCAAATTCACTTTGTTAAACTTTTGCCCAGCTTGTGTACATGGTATCTGATGTAAACCGAGACTGTTTATGTGGATCAATAATCAGAGAAAGAAGACTCGTACAGTAATGGAACATATCAATTTCTGCATCTCAAACACTATTATTCTCTCTGTCAGTAACCGCAAAGGAATTCATTCTGCCTGCTCCTTAAAAAAAAACCTTGAGCAGAAATAACATTAAAGGACCGCTATTGAGAAAAATATCATATTCCGATGACTGTATGCGGTTAATAGATGTAATGATAGTATTCAGAATATGAATTCCTCTTTTTTTTCTGTATTTCACATGCCTTTATTTAAATTGTTCTCCACATTTACTTGTAGACCAAGCTATCCAGTAAAAGTGACAATGACAGTGGTTGGAACAAGCTATAACATTGCCAGGGGTGCTTGAGCAGTTGCAGCAACTAGCTTGTTAATAAAAGGTGACCATTGCAAGCACTCCTGCCAGAAGAAAAGAAAGAATTCACATGCTGTATACTATTTTATGTACTATATTCATTATATAATTCATTATATAATGTTATCATAATACAATATTTTTTTGTTTGGGATTGAAAGGAAGAGTCAGACCCTTTGTTGAGTTTTATTGCTGTCTGTGTCCCTGGTGGGGAAATTCACCCCCTCTATTTGTTCTGGTGACCAATGTCATCAAGAGACAAAGGAGAAATCCAAAACTTTAAATGAGGATACCTGTTTCTGTTTTCTTTGACTGAACTACTGTTTATTTTGGAGAAATTATCTCTCACTTCCTGTTGCATCACCAGGACAGAATGTGCAGGGAAATCCCCCAGACAGGACACGGGCAGCAGAAAATAACCTTATAGGCAGGGGTGTCCCTACCATTTTTTGCCACCTGAGGTGGGGTGGGTGCTGGAGAGGAAGGGTGGTGCTAGTGGAGATTGATGCCGCTAAGAGCTGGGGGAGAGTTGTGTAAGGGCTCTGCATCTCCACACCTAGCTCTTAGCAATCTAGGATGCTCTGGCCGGTGTTCCGCCGAGCTCCTGGCAACCAGTGACATCAGTGACCAGTGCCAGACCAGAGCTTCCTGGGTTGCTAAGAACTGAGCAGGGAGATGTGTATGGCCCTTATGCTGTATATCCTCCCAGCTGTAGATCCTAAAATCATCTCTGAATTGGTGCTGACACTGTCCTTCCTTCTGGAGTGTGGCTACTTTTGTTCCCCAGGGACCATGTTCCCCATGGTCCCTGTGTGTGTAGTGAAGTAGCCACCATGTCAAACTCACTTCCATGATGCACTACAATCTCACATTTAGTTTACTAAATTGTATTGAGATTGTAGTACATTATGGGAGTGAGCTTGGAGTGGTGGCTACTTCACTACACACACAGGGACCATGGGGAACAGCCACCTGCCAGAAGGAAGGATAGTGTCAGCACCAATTCAGAGATGATTTGAGGATCTAGAGCGAGTGATACACAAATAAGATTAATTTTTGTTAACAGTTAAGGTACTTGAATGCATTTTTAAGATTTAACTCCTGAGTTTTGTGTCACTTTAAGGGTTGATTAAGGAGGCTATGTTGGGGTTTCATCCTGCCAACCCACTGAGGGGGCACTGGTGATTTGTCATCCACAGGCATAACATACCTGCTACATCTCATAATAGGTCATATAACAAGAGAAATTACAAATATAAGCTCGTAATCATAAACTGCCTCAGAGTATTTAAAGACCTTAATCTTTTCAAACGGTATTGTTATTTATATAATTACTCCAAATCATATAAAAAGCCTTTTAATTCTACTCTGGTGTGAAGGCTTTTATTGTTGGAATACTCTTTGCAGGATATTTAGAAAATATTAGCCATAAATTGTTTATATTGCAACTTAATAGCTATTACTTAAATGCTAGAGGCAATTGTTTAGCTAATCTCGAGCAGTTGATCAAATTAAGCATGCATAAGAAACATAATTATTGAATGAGTCTGGGACGCAGTCAACTTGTATTGATTGAAATGATTGCAAAATGGTTTATCCAGCTGTTTTGTTGTATATCACTCTCATTGCCAGGAATGATGAATTTCTGTGGAGCAGTCATATTCCCATTATTGCATGATGTGCATTACCTGGTAATAAAATCAGTGGTGCAAATAGGTAACTATAGCCATAGGGGACAATGCAATAGTTGTGGTACCCCAGCAGCACAGTAGGCTTGGTTCTTTTTGGAAGCATAATTGTTTAATCATGTAGCAATAGCATTTAGCTATTTAATTAAGATCAGGCACCTCTGCCACAGCAATCCTTTAGTGCAGGGGTAGGCAAACTTTGGCCCTTCAGCTGTGATGCAACTACAAATTCCATGAGGCATTGCAATACTCTGACAGCCCCAGGCATGACTCCCAGAGACATGATGGGATTTGCAGTTCCAACACAGCTGGATGACTGGAGTTTGCCTACCGCTGCTTTAGTATATGGCTGTTTACAAACAATATAATCTGATCTACTACTAAGTTAGCTCTCTTGCCTTGCAGCTTTGGTTCTTGGGATAAAATCCCACCTTTTTTAATGGCGCTTGAAGGTTCTACATGTGTCTGTATGGGTTTCCTCTCATAATAAAAGAAAACATACTCTCAGGTATCTTTCTACCAAACGAGTGTGATAGAGATATTAGATTGTGAGCTTTTTGGGGGGCTTTTGGGGAGACAGAGGCTATTGTGCGGAGTCTGCGATGGCCATACGGGGTCTCAGATGGCTGTGCGGGGTCTTAGTAGGATGGTGAGGGGTCTTAGGAGGGCTGTGTGGGGTCTCACCAGGGGTCCGGATGGTCCTGTCGAGGTGGCAGAGTTCCACAGGAAGGAGGACATGTCCAGCCGACATTGTAAGCAGCACTGCGAGGTCCCAAGAAGGCTGCCGTAAGGTCCACAGCAAGTGCGGGACAGTACAGCAGCCGCTTGCGTTTAAAAATTGAAAGCGCTGCTATTGGGCTCGTGAGTACTCATGAAAATGCCCAGCATTGGCATCAATATCGGTAATGGTGCCGATACCGGTAATGACAGGTGAGGCCCTGCTTCCCTGGTTTTGGGGTGGCTTTTTTGGGGGAAAAGTCCGGCCCAAGGCAAATTCCTTGTTTGCCTTGCGGTAGATATGCCTCTTACCGGGAAGCTTAGGGGTACGTGAAGACAGTTGGACTGATTTCTAGCAATTTCAACTAGCTTCCAATTGAAAAAAAAATAGGGCTGGTAATGATTACAATTTTCGTGTTCGATTAATGGAATTTTTTTAAATCGATTAATCGATTAATTTCGATTAATTTTAACGCACATACAGATCCAACTACATTGGCCTATACACATACAGCACAGCAATGAAGTAATAAAATGAACTAGGATCACACTAATCCAGCACGTTATTAATCTCACGTGCCCCACTCAACATGGCCGCCGCTTGAGTGGAGCAACTCAGAATAATAACGTGCTGGAATAGTGTGATCCTAGTTCATTTTATTACTTCATTGCTGTGCTGTATGTGTATAGGCCAATGCCTTGGCTGGCTCTCGTGCAAAATTTTCTTGGGCAAACTCACTGGCCCTAGTGGCTCCGTCGGCTAACGTAGGGGGGAGGAGTCCGGTGACATCACAGACATAGACGTCACCTGACTCCTTCCCTTCGTTAGCCGTCACGGACAACGACGTCACCGAACTCCTTCCCCCTTCCCTTCGTTGGCCGACGGAGCCACTTGGGGAAGGGGGGAGGAGTCCGGTGACGTCAATGTCCATGACGTCACCGGATCGCCGACGGGACTCTTGGAACCCGGCCAAAAGGTGAGTGTTTTCATTAGCGATCAAAATAATTTGAATCGATCAAAAAGTTTAACGATTAATTGACAAATTAATCTTTAATTTCCACAGCCCTAAAAAAAAACATTAAAAACATCAAGGCAACCACCAGAAGTCTGGACCATTTATGGTTTCACTAGCAACTGTTGGTAGTAGGTTGCCTCGCTCTGTTCAGCTGTTTTTGTATTTGAAGTCCAGTTGAACGCGCTTGATATTGGTAGTATAGATTCTGTGATTTTACCAGCTAATATTTTTTCGGATAGGATGTTTAGAATGTGCTGTTTGGGGTGCCTCGATTTTAATGATGGACAACTGAATCTTATAATAAGGGATGGGTTAATTTACAAATAGGTATGAGAAGAGGGAGTATGGATTGGGAAGCAAGATGGAAAGCAAGTGGGGTCTTGGGGATCTCCATCATTATGCTAATACCATAATTCTCACTTATTCTGATTACCCACACATGGTGTCTGAACTGACCTATGGGCTAATAACCCTCAGGCATCCATTCATCAATCAGTGCCACTGCTCAGAGATCCCTGATGTTGGTGTTGTGATATCCATCCACCTTCATAAAAAAGCCATTTGTAATCTGTTTTTCCAGGGGGCATATTTTAGTTTATATCACGGCTTCATGGATATCAACTCTATAAGCTCCAGCAGGAGGCTATGACTTTGTGATGTACATTATATTACCAAACCCCTCTATTCTTTATGCCACTCTGTGCTGCCCATTGTCTACTCCAAACCACCCAAGTCTATACACTAAAATGTACATTACATACTCCACCCAACTCCACTGTGTCTTCTATGATGTACATGATATATGCCACACTGTTCTGCTTTATACATTCAACTGTATATGGAAGGAAGCAGAGACAACAAGTATACCAAAAATCAAGCACTTAATATATCCCAAACAGTTCAAATCCAATTTTTTAACGCCACTTAGCTTCCAGGCACTTTGTTCTCCAAGCCCTGTTGTGAGCATTTTTTCACTTTGCATACTGTGTTGTACATTATATCCTTCACACTGTACACTAAGATATACACTATATTGCCAAAAATATTGCGACACACCTCCAAATCATTGGATTCAAGTGTTCTGTAAAATTTCCTACTAAATAGGAACTAATTATTTCACGGTGATCCGTATTATAATGAAATGGAAGCAATTAGAAAGAACAGCAACTCAGCCAGGAAGTGGTAGGCCACGTAAAATTACAGAGCGGGGTCAGTGCATGCTGAAGCGCACAGTGCGCAGAAGTCGCCAACTGTCTCCAGAGTCAATAGCTACAGAACTCCAAACTTCATGTGGCCTTCTGATTGGCACAACAACAGTGCGTAGAGAGCTTTATGGAATGAGTTTCCATGGCCGAGCAGCTGCATCCAAGCCTTACATCACCAAGTGCAATGCAAAGTGTAAAGCATGCCGCTACAGGACTCTAGAGAAGTGGAGACGTGTTCTCTGGAGTGATGAATCATACTTCTCTGTCTGGAAATCCGATGGACGTGTCTGGGTTTGGTGGTTGCCAGGAGAACGGTACTTGCTGACTGCATTGTGCAAAGTGTAAAGTTTGGTGGAGGGGGGATTATGGTGTGGGGTTGTTTTTCAGGGGTTGGGCTTGGCCCCGTAGTTCCAGTGAAGGGAACTCTTAAGGCATCAGCATACCAAGACATTTTGGACAATTTCATGCTCCCAACTTTGTGGGAACAGTTTGGGGATGGCCCTTCCTGTTTCAACATGACTGCGCACCAGTGCACAAAGCCAGGTCCATAAAGACATGGATGAGTGAGTTTGGGGTGAAGGAGCTTGACTGGCCTGCACAGAGTCCTGACCTCAACCCGATAGAACACCTTTGGGATGAATTAGAGCAGAAACTGTGAGCCCGGCCTTCTCGTCCAACATCAGCACCTGACCTCACAAATGTGCTTCTGGAAGAATGGTCAAACATTCCCACAGACACACTCCTAAACCTTGTGGACGCCTTCTCAGAAGAGTTGAAGTTGTTATAGCTGCAAAGGGTGGGCCAACTCAATATTGAACCCTACGGACTAAGACTGGGGTGCCATTAACCCCTTCGTGACCGGAGACGTACAGTGTACGTCCCGTCACAAAGTGGCTATATGACTGGCCACGTACACTGTACGTGCCGAGTTATATTAGCCTCTGTAATGCTGGTAACTGCTGATTCTCAGCAGTTCCAGTCATTAATTAATGCCTCACTATTGAGACATTCATTAATGAAATAGTTAAGCTTTTTTAAAAGCTTCTTTCTTTCATTAATGAAAGAATGAAGCCTTTACATTCAGATACGGGTTCGCTAAATAGCGATCCCGTATCTGACAGCTGAAGATAGCAGAGAGGTAGCAGTGACTCACCTCTCTGCTATTCGTTTTGACAGCTGGAGAGCCTGGCCCGATGTTAAATGATACATTTCAACCACTAGATACAAAATGTATCTC